GAGAACACTGCCCCAGAAGAACAAGAACATGCTGCCAAAGCATGTTGGGACGAAATGTCGGGTCAGGCAAAGGAGAACCTGAAGTAAAGATTAAAGCCCGTAAGTATGGCATATTGCGAAATACAGGAACATCAATAATAATAGTAATGAGTGATAATTAGTGACTACCATTTTCTGTTAAATTGTCCGTCACTGAGTTTTGCTAGAGCACAAACCCTTTCGATACGCAGGATTTCAAACTGGATTCTACCGTGCGGGAAGAGATGTCGAGGGTTGAATTTGTAACGTCTGTCAGAAACGTGGAGGGATAAACACAATCATTAGGACAAGTGCTATAACATGTTACTACGTGGATATGGTCCAGTGTCTGTACTTCCCTATATTTAAACCATAATCAGTTCAAGTACCTCGCTAAATTTACAATCTCAAACGCTGACTTAGTTACCTGTTGGCTCTGGGACTCCCTCTGGTTCCTATTGCGGACTATCACAACACTCGTTTATGGGATTGGCATTAACACTGTGGTTTGACTAGTAATTCAGATATCACTATAATGGTGCCCGTGAGCCCTGGGTGTATATAGGTCATAATGGTGCTCAGGGCCATGTAAAGATAGATGTATAATAGGGTTTGGAGTCTTCAAGATACTGCTTGTGCTACTCACCGGCCGCACCGACTCTCTCCTCACTTGCCGTGAATAGTACAGAGTGATGATGGAGAGTATGACTGAATGTAACACGACGACGTAGTGTTAGACCACTGGGGCAAAAGAGCTTGTGGACGAGCCAGTCTAAACCCCCAACAAGCAGGCTACCGTACAGGCAAACTTTATAGTTAACTAGCCAATATTGGTTAACTTAGGGAGTACTAATTATTTTTGGACTAGGGTTTGAAGACCTGGGAATAAAACCACATAGTTAAAGGCCTTGACCTCTCAGCTTCTAATTTGGGGCACGAAAATGCGAAATCACATCTCCTCCCTTTTACGAAAGATCGGTGCTCCCGGGAAACAGATGAGACTGAGACGGAATATACAGATATCTTGTCGTGGTATGTCCCCAAAGAAGAAGATTCCTTCCTTATTGGCTAATATGATCTAGGCAAACTCATCAGCGTCGATAAACTCTTTGATTATACGAATGGGAATTTCCTTGTTAATGAGAATTTCCAATTTGAACAGCGTTATGTGAAGTTCGACCTGGATGCTCTCTGCGATGTCGCTGCCGCGGCAGGCGGCGAAGCATCCCCCATCAAGGCAATTGAAAAGATGGAAGGAGGTTTCAGCAAAGCCCTGCTGATGAAGAAAGAAAACGGGATGGAGATTATTGCAAAAATCCCGTGTCGCAACTCTGGACCAGCAGTGTACACTACCGAATCAGAGGTAGCTGTCTTGAAATACGGTATTCGACTTGTCTTGCATTCCACATCGTCCATCAACTTACGCTGCCTCTCGTAGTGATCCAACACACGAATGTTCCAGTCCCAGAGGTCTACGCGTGGTCCTCCGATCCCACAAACCCAGTGGGTGTGGAATATATTATTATGGGAAGGGCGCCTGGAGTTCCTGTTTTCAAGATATGGGGCGAGATGTCTCAGCCCAGAAAACTGGAGCTCATTAAGCAGCTTACTAAGTTTGAACATGAACTTGCCTCGATCCAGCTCCCCGCGTATGGCAGCCTCTATCTCCGGGCTTTCTCTAGAGATATTCCAGGATACAAGTTGCTTGGCTCGGATGCCGACCCCTCAGCATCATACTGCGTGGGCCGCTCAGGAGACAGATCATTCATCACGCATGGCTGTCAGGAATGGGACGGCTCCAAATTAGATCCCGGACCATGTGAGTATATTTTGATTGTGCCCTTGGTGTTGGCCTCGCTACTAATACATAGTCCCAGGGACTACATTATCCGCATACGGTATTGCAATTGCAAAGCGGGAGATGTTTCGTATTTCAGGAGGTTCATCACCGCACCCGGAGACCTTCTACCAGGGCAGTTTTTTGGAGCAGACTAACCTTCTGGAAAGCGCCATACGCCTCCTAAGGTTACTGGATTCGCATCCTATTCTCGCACAATCCGCTACGCCGGTCATTTGGCATACAGACCTTCATATGGGAAACATTTATGTGTCCCCTGATGAACCATCACAAATTCTTTCGCTCATTGACTGGCAATCAGTATCAATCCTTCCACTATTTCTACAAGCACGATGGCCTATTTTCCTCGAGCCACCACAAAATTATGCTCGAGGATTTCAAAAACCGGAGCTTCCTGACGATTTCGACAGGCTGGATCGGGAGGAGCAGCAGTTGGCAAGGTATGAGCAGCAACAAGCTGTAGCTGCAAAGGCATATGAAGTGTCAAACTACCTCGAGAATAGATCGGCCTATACAGCGATGAATCTTCCACGCGTTTTCCGGGAACTGTTCAAACGTTGCGGTGAAATTTCCGAAGTTGGGGTTATCCCTCTTCGAGCATGTCTTATAGAGATATTCACGAACTGGTTTGAATTGGGATTCACTGGCGATTGCCCTTACTCTTTTAGCCAAGAGGAGATAGACGATCATAATTCCCAGTTCAGGGAGTATGAGGATTGGCACAAGGTACATGAGTTAGCGAGGAAATGCTTGGATACTGATGAAGATGGATGGATACCTCCCGATATGGATATCACGGAGAAACGTCAGCAAAACCAAGAACTATTGAACATGTTCATCAACCAGATGGCAGCCGAAAAATCCCCAGAAGAAGCGAGACGGATGTGGCCTTTCGTTGAAAATTGCCACTTCACCAAGAAGAGTCACTAGATGGAATGCACAGCGCAGGGTTTTGCTATTCCTGGAGCATTTGTTCGACGGCAGTTGGATGCATTGGTCTCTCTACTCTGCTAACCACCGTCGGCTTCACCTCTAACACCGGTGTAGCAGAAGCTTTTCACGGCCAGTCGGAAATACACATTCTCTGATATCAAGAGACCTAGCAAACCCTCATCGTACTGTATTTATTTGTACTCAATATTATAAATCAAGAGAGTGTTATCGGACCCAGAAATGGAATCCAAGTGTTAAAAAAGCTGATTTATTTGCTCCCTGTTCGATAAAGGTAACCAGGGGAAAGGTAGCATACATGAAATCAACAAGATTTGCTATCACAACCAGTCATACAACATGATTGCTTAACACTCGTTTGCACCCCAAGGTGGTTTCTCTACACATGGTTTTCCAACTTCAAGTTAGTTTGCCCAACTTAGATCGACCAGTGGGAACTAAAGAATCTCTGTATAGCATCACCAGTTACTATAACTAACTAGTTAGTTAGGCTAATGTGCTGACAAAGAAGTATTCTGGCATCTGTAGTAGCTCACTCTCGTCTTCCGCCCCTCCCCCGCTATCGCAACCACCTAACCATGGAATATTAGACCCACCCTACCAACACCACCACCATCATGGAACGCGCAAATAAACCCACCGCCATTCCTGTCTCCTCGCCTCTTCCGCAGCCCTCAATCTCCGTAGAAGAGGACAAGGTCCAGGCGTCGCTAGCCTCGGGCGACTCCGTCATCGTCAATCTTTTGGGAGCCACAGTCGTGTCATGGAAACTTGCCAATGGCGACGAGCAGCTATTTCTGAGCAAAAAAGCCGTTTTGGATGGCTCTAAACCCATCCGTGGGGGTATCCCGTTGGTTTTTCCTGTTCGTGACACCCAGATCTTCAATTCCGCTCACCATTGATTATACATTTGTATGACTTCAATCGTACAGAGACGCGCTGTCAAGCCAAACGGCACCCCAATTGAATTTGCAAAATTGCTGACTTCCACGCTTTATACAACAAATTACAGGTTTTCGGCCCCCCGCCTAAGGACCATGCGACTTCCGCGCTTCCCCAGCACGGATTTGCTCGTAACTCATATTGGGAATTCCTGGGGAAATCAACTTCGGAATCGGAGGGACAGAATGGCGATAGCAGTGTTAAGCTTGACTTTGGCTTGTCAGCAGGCATGTTGAGTGACAAATTCAAAAGCGATTGGCCGAATGATTTTGGACTGGTGTACAGTGTCACGTTGAGCAAGGGCAGTCTGGGAACGTCCCTGCAGGTCCAGAATAAGGGATCACAACCATTTGAGTTTCAGGTTCTGCTCCATTCGTACTTCAAGGTTGAGGTATGTTGTGGTCACACTTTTTTTTTTAAACCTCTATCGGCTGTATTACAACTATCTGCCAAACCTTTAACCACCCCAGCGTGATCACGCGAAGCTATTTTGGCTAAAATTGTGCCAAAGGACATCACAAAAATCCGCATTCTAAACCTCCAATCCAAAACATACGTCGACAAAATTCTCAACGCATCAACCCACGTCGAATCTTCCCCGGCCCTTGCAATCACCCAAGAAATAGATCGGGTCTATCAATCTCTTAACCCAACAGTTCCAATCGTCGTCGCAGACGACGACAACAACCCCGTTTTCTCCATCTACCGCGAATCTCTTAATGACATCGTGGTCTGGAATCCTTGGATCGAGAAGGCGAAAGGAATGGCCGATTTCGCCCCTGATGACGGCTATAAGAATATGATATGTGTTGAGGCGGGTTCTGTGATGGGGTGGCAGACGTTAGAAGCGGGAGAGTCTTGGGAGTGCGGACAGACGGTGAAGAGTAAGCGTTGAGGGTTCATTCCTATCGTGAGATGCATTCCTGCTTGTGACGATGAAGTGTGCTGGGGTGGGAAACTATCTCAGTGTCTAGGATGGGAATGGTGGGATTGTTTCGGTGAGTTGGGGGTATCCAAAGTATTAGTGTTGTTCCAAGGACGCATCTTCGTTATATGTTGGTTCATACGTTGAATATTCTCTCCGCCGTTAGTCTCCCGAACACAGCACGCCTTCCAGGATTGTTAGTGTTGGAAATGGAAATATTACTGATGACAATGGATAACGCTGAACAAACTTACTGGGTTCGTAAAATATTTTATTCAGCTTTTCTTTAAACGGATATTCATAGATATGATTGGTTGTTAGGTGGACGTATATTGAACCTAGATATCTCTAGAGGGCTGTCGTGTGCTTGCTCGTTTTAGCTAACTTCTTTCCCTGCTGATGAGATTTTTTGAGCGCCATGGTATGTCAATCATATCCCAGTCTACACCGATTTGGTAGCTAGATTCCAGGCTCAAATCAATTTAGCATGTCGTGGGCTGTGAAATCACACTGGCCATGGACGCTAACTTAGTTTTTATCGACATGACCTAATTATGACGAAATGGTTTCGATGATATAATTAACTAACTAACCAAGTCAGGCAATATTTATAATGCTCTCGGGTGGCGCTTTTAGCGGAGTCTGGTTAACCTTGAATTCCTCCTGCCTGCGTCTGGGGATAGGCTCATCGGCAATGGCGGTGATATTTCTCCGCTTTTATTTTTGCTTTTTTATATTTTTAATTCCCCCTTGTCGCTTATTTAAATCCCTCACAAAAGCAGCAAAGAAATGAGTCACCTAGGTGACTTTCCGTGGCACATGAATACTCTTGCCCGATGCTGGCGACTTGGATCTTGAGGGATTGGACTGGCATCTCGGTTTTTTGAATGAGCTCTCTTGAAAGCTTCTCCCCTCATTCTGCTTTACGTGGAAATGTAGCGTCGAGTGGAGCGGGCAACGCTCTCGATAATAGCGATGATGCTACTGCGACGGTTAGAGCTGATGGAGTGAGGCTCCAGGGTGGCTTTTACGAAAATAGTGATACCGATTCGTCGTCTATTTCGTCAAGTTTGAATGGCGATGCCTATGACCCTCACGATCGTCTTCTGGGGCAAAGCGGCACCAGTGGACACTTGCCAGCTTCCAATTCCCCCAGTGGACGGCCACCTTTTGTTGGAGAGCATGATACAAGCGCAGCGAATGTTGTGGAATCAAATGGGTATGAACCAGACGAGGAAAAGCCAGTATCATGGGCTTCTTTACCAAAGAAAACCCAATTGATCATCCTGACCATTGCTCGATTGTCCGAGCCTTTGACTCAAACTTCCCTCCAAGCGTATATCTTTTACCAACTCAAATCCTTTGACCCGTCCCTGCCGGACTCGGCGATATCTGCTCGGGCTGGTTTTCTACAGGGCTGTTCTACTGCAGCACAGTTCGCGACAGCCATGATATGGGGCCGGCTTGCGGACACTCATTTTATGGGAAGAAAAAGGGTGCTCGTGGTAGGCCTCTTTGGAACTTCCATTGCATGTGTGGGATTTGGATTTTCTCAGTCCTTTATTGCTGCTGCAATATTTCGCACCATGGGAGGTGCTCTGAACAGCAATATCGGTGTCATGCGGACTATGATTTCGGAATTTATCGTGGAAAAAAAGTATGTTCGCTTTCTAAAAAAATGGAACCCGTTTCCGCATTCTGTGCCCGTTAATTTTTGAACTCGTGGTTAATCTCCCCGTCGGAATGCGATGTGGTATTTATCCTCCAGAGAAAACTCTGGCTAACTGAATGCCAGGTATCAATCTCGGGCCTTCTTACTCCAGCCAATGTGCTTTAATATCGGCGTCATAATAGGGCCCATTTTGGGTGGACTTCTCGCCGACCCTCTGGCTAGCTATCCGGGTCTGTTCGGCCCACATTCATTTTTTGGCGGCCAAAACGGCGTCTGGTGGATGAAGAAATGGCCGTATGCCCTACCAAATGTCATAAACGCGGTTATTGTCCTGATATCCGCGCTAGCGGTTTTATTTGGGTTAGACGAGGTGGGCTTCATCCCAATGCTGGCTGGTTCTTTGAAGCCTCTATATCTTTCATGGCTGACTTCTCTTCAAGACCCATGAAACAGCCAAGTATCGCAGCGACTGGGGTCGGAAGATCAGTAAAATGATAGGTCGCCACTTTAAGCCTGACCACACTCTACACAACTACCACTCAATCGATGAAACCTACGATATCCCGACAGCAGGAGAATCCATCGATCAGGAGAGGAGCGCCCAAGGATCGGTGCCAGCAGGACGAGGGCCAATGCGGATACCTCGGCGGAAACGCATGTCCTTCTCTCAAATCTGGACGGGGAATGTCTTACTCACCCTTCTCACCCAGTTCGTACTCGCCGTACACCTCAGCGCCTTCAATGCGCTAATCTTTATCTTCTTACCTACCCCTCGTGCACCAGAAGGAAGCCGTCGTGGATTTTTCCATTTTGGCGGTGGCCTTGGCATGCCAAGCTCCAAAGTTGGTTTCGCAACCGCCATCATCGGCCTTTTTGGCCTCCCGTTACAGATATTCGTCTATCCGCGGGTCCACTTCCACCTAGGCACCCTGAAATCGCTGCGTGCATTCATACCGTTTTCCGCTCTTGCCAACTTCTTGGTTCCGTTCCTGGCTCTCGTACCGAACCGGCCGTATCTCGTCTGGCCGGCTTTGGCAGCGGTTTTCTCTGTTCAGGTCATTTCGAGAACATTCTCGCTTCCTGCGGCTATTATTCTGGTTAACAATTCGGTTACGGATCCGAGCGTGCTGGGGACTGTACATGGAGTTGCGCAGAGCGTGACCTCCGCCGCGAGGACGCTGGGCCCGGTGGTTGGCGGTTGGGGTTTGGGGCTGGCGCTCAAGTATAATATCGTTGGAGCGGTTTGGTGGGCTCTTGCGGTGTTAGTTTTACTAGGATGGGGCGTCTCTTGGACCATATTCGAGGACAGTGGGCTTGAAAAAAAAAGCCTCGAACAAAGTCATGAAAGTGAGGGATCCGAGCATTGAACGAGCAGATGAGTGGGCAGTATGGGGTTTAGGACGTTTCGTTTCACTCCATTAATCTTATGGTGATGTCAATAATGATCGCGATGATTCCGGAAATCTTTAAAACTTTAGCTTAAACTGTCATTTTGGATGGAAGGTACATAAATATATATGTTGGGCACAACCTTGCACCTTGTATGGGAAGTGAGCTTACTGTATTTGTCTCATTTGTCCTAGACCAGTTGATAGTCATATAAAATAATCGGTTACAAACCTTTTCATCAACTCGCCTTTAGTAGATATTGACAAAAGGGCCAGGTCACCTGTACTGTACTTAGATCCGAGTTGACGTGACTCAACTGGCAGTCCTGGTGTGTTTCGGATGAAATGAGAATAGCTGATCCGAACCATGCTAATTACTTATCTACTTATCGCAGCGAAATGCATTGGATGTCCTAAACAAGAATAAGAACGTTGCTTCCCAGTAGTCAACCTTCTTCATATTCTGTGACCAAATATAGGTTGTCGGGATATCACTAGGTCATTTCCCTCATTTGTGAATCACCCTTGAGCTCTGCAAATCCAACCAACGGCACCTCCCATTAGAAATTGAATGCTGATCCCCCCATTCTCTATCCAGCGCTTTTGAGGTGCAGTTCGATCGTCACACGGCCAAGGAAAACACAGTTAAAATGACTTCGTCCATGCATCCCAGCGTCAGTTTATCAGGGCAAACCCAGCCCCTTTTAAATTGAACGGGGAGCCCTTAATTCATCTTAGATTCATTTGTCGCCAAGATTTTCCATGTCAAGGATTCTGTGAGTCGATAATTTCCCACTCCTGGTTTGTCATGCTTGGAGAGGCGCGATGTATGCGCGAATAGCTTTGATTGGGTCCCCCTCATGTGCCTTTAAGAGTTCCGTAGCCTTTACCTTCGTCAGATCAAGCTGATCCACCTGCATACCAATCACCCGGTTAGCAGACGCCAAATGCAACTACCATTCAAGGAGAAATACGATATCAACTAAACTCACCAAAAGTCCAACATCCTCCGCCGCAACCTTTACCACCTTCTTCTTCACCACCTTCTCCCCCTCGCCCCCATCCATCTTCCCATCAGCCTTATCTTTTTTCGCATTCATATCTTTCTTCCCAGTCCCTGCAACCCAACCTGCACTTGAACCCCCAGCTTTATCCACGCCGGCAATCATTTCCAATCTGCTCATCGCTTTGCCCAGTGCCTCTTGATCAGCTGCGGAGGGTAGCACCGCACCGCTGGGAACGCCCCTGTCCTGTTCGGAGGCAGAGGTTTCGTTGGCGGTATTGAGAGAAGAAAGCGCAGCAGCTGCGGCACGGTCTTCAGCATTTGTAGGAAACTCAGAAGCTGATTCGCCATTGTCATTATTGTCGTTGTTATTGTGTGGACTGGAGCCCGTCGTGGGGGGTTTTCGACGGCTCGAGGCAGCCATAGGTGTATATGTCAAAGTCCGAGGCTTGTAAGGGTCGATGGGTTATGGGCCGTTGCGAAGATAATTGAACAAGGCTTCCATATAGACTTTAGCAATGTTACAACGACCAAATATACTTCTGGAGGATTGCTTTCAGGGCAGCAAACAGACTCCTACCACGTGACCCAATAAGTGGCTGGGTTTTTTGCCCCATAGCCTATCCCAGAGTTAAATAAATACATATCCACCGATTGAATGTAGTATTTTCATGACTCACGAGTTCGGCAAGATTTTTCTGGAAAACTGAAGCCACTCGACGCTGACCTCGTTGCTACTTACAGAGTTCAATTTGAAGGCTGCTTTGTCCAATCTGTGTGCTACGGATTCTCGTATTTTAGTGTTACGCCTGGTTAGATACCATCTCTCTTCACCCCGCACTAGAGATATTCTCTTGCGTTTTGCGAAGAGCAGTAATCAAATTCTAGGAAAACTTATTGTTAAACCACTATCGTATACGCCCAAACTACATTGCAAGCTAGGCGCCTCTTGTGTAGTGTACCAGAGATACCAATTTAATATGACTTCCACCCAGGAAAAGCAGTCTAGAAATACCTGGACTCCTTCATGTATGTTTTCTTTCAAGTTATGCATTCTTTAGTATATTATAACTGATATACGGATTAGCTTGGACTACGAAGCCTATAAAGCAGGAAGTTACATATGAAGATCAAGAAGGCCTAAAAGATGCCTTGATTAAGCTTCAGCATCTACCTCCATTGGTGACCCCCCAGGAGGTATGAATCATGACAACTGAAAAAAAGTGTGATAAGTATGAAGGTTAACTTTCTGCCGTAGATTGTTAACTTGAAGAATTGCCTGAAAAATGTAGCACTTGGGAGAGCGTTTGTCCTCCAGGGGGGTAAGTAACAGGGTCCTTACAGTTCTTATATCGGTTTGTATGAGGCCACTGTATGAACTTGGTCTAACTGACATAAAACCTGAAAGGTGACTGCGCGGAACTCTTTGATTACTGCAACCAAGAATCCATCGAGTCGAAGATCAAATTGATATTACAGATGAGCTTAATTTTGATTTGGGGTAATATTATTATGCTAAATATCATCAAATAGCAGTCAGTGTCTGGCTAACTCTTTCCCGCAGGAGCGAATAAGCCAGTAATCAGAATTGCTCGGATCGCCGGTCAGTTTGCCAAGTAAGTAATACAATTCATCGCGCATTCTTTGCATATGATGCTCACAAATTTGCAGGCCTCGATCAAGTACCACGGAAACAATCAACGGTGTGACGATGCCGTCTTTCCGTGGTGACAACATCAATGGCTTTCAGCCGGACCCCATTTCTCGGAAACCTGATCCATCCCGTCTCGTATCTGCGTACTTCCATTCCGCTGCAACTTTAAATTATCTTAGAGCAGCCCTTGCCTCCGGTTTAGCTGACCTACACTCTCCATTGGATTGGGGGCTCGGTCACGTAATCGCGCCATCGATAAAAGAAAAATATGAACAGATCGTATCCAGAGTGACAGACTCCCTACGTTTCATGAGAACGGCAGGCCTCGACACAGACCGCGGAATCGAAACTGTGGACATCTATACCAGCCATGAAGGCCTGATGCTTGACTATGAACAAAGCCTCGCCAGACTCTGCCGTGACCCCCCCGAGGCGGTACCGAAATCCAACCAGTCTACCTCCACTGCCCACCCACCAAGTAGCCACTATGCCACCTCCGCCCATTTCCTCTGGATAGGCGACCGCACACGCCAACTTGGAGGCGCACATGTAGAATTCTTCCGCGGCATCGCCAACCCCATTGGCATAAAAATCGGCCCGACGATGGATCCAGATGAACTCATCGACCTTCTCAACACCGTCAACCCAGACAAGGAAATTGGCAAAGTAACGCTCATCTCACGGTACGGTGCCTCGAAAATCGCCAGTTTCCTTCCTCAGCACATCAAGGCAGTTCAATCCTCTGGCCACACTCCTGTCTGGCAATGCGATCCCATGCACGGCAACACACTCACCACGCCATCGGGTCTCAAGACTCGCCAGTTCAAAGATATCTTGTCTGAGCTGCGGCAGGCGCTGGAAATCCATCGCGCGCAGGGTTCTTTTCTGGGGGGCATGCACCTGGAGCTGACTGGTGAAGCGGTGACGGAGTGCGTCGGTGGTGCGGCGGGGTTGACAGAGGATGGCTTACGAGAACGCTATACCACTTTCTGCGATCCGAGACTAAATGAGAAGCAGGCGCTGGAGTTGGCGTTTTTGGTTGCAGGCTTTTATCGGGACCGGATGGGGGAAGAGGGTGAATTGAATGAGATGTGATACGTTTGTATCTTTGTCAGCGGTTTTCAGAAAACGTACGGCGATTTTTTATTTATTTTATTTATTTATTTTTTGGTGCTTTTGTGATTAAAGGCGAAAAGTTAACAGGAATGTAGTTAGGGAAAATGATCAATTTCTTTAGATTTCATTAGCTTGCTATAGTTATTCTGGAGGGATTGGATTCGTGATTCATCCCCAGTTGGCGCTGGTGATAACTGAGCACTTTTGCGCCAGTAGCCTAAACACGTTTATCATGGGTTTGCACTGTTGTTTCCAGTTTTAAACCAGATATAGTTAATTAACGGCCAGCTTGAAATAAATCTCTTTGAAGCCATCAAGTCGAAACTATCGTATCAAAAATCAGCTCGAAAGGGGAAAGAATGTAGAAGGAAGGCCAATCCATATTCGCCAAGTTCGCAAGCCCCCAAAGTTGCACTCGTATATAAAAACACTTCGGAAAAAGGACGGAAAAGAATATGTGCACATATATTAAGGCAGAGGCGATTACTACTCAGAGAACATAGTAATACTGTACAGTACAAGAAGAGGCACCTAAGGAGAGAAGAAGCTAAACCACCCGAACAAAGATCTCACGAAATAAAAGTTACACAACTCTCACTTTAACCCCAAGTAACAATCATATCGTAATATGATTTAAAATTTCATTCCTGGACGACTAAGCGGACTTCCAACTTTTGGTTTCCAAACCAAACTCCTCCTTCTAGCCGCTTCTAACCTAATTCTAAGCCCCTCGCTCATCAGGCTATCGCCGCACGAGTGATTACCGAAGAGTCCCTGTCTCAACTGTTTTGGGGGACAGGTCTGCTGAGTCAACTGGGTTCCCTGTGAGGGATGATATGGAGTTATAGGTGATGGAGCCGAAGCACCATCAAAATCGAAAGCATAACTAAAGTCTGGAGTTGTAGGTGTTACGACTGCAGAACTCTGTGACATTGCCACGGACCGGGAAGGATTTGTCGGTGTTGACGGGAAAGCTGGGTACTGCTTCTGTTCTGACTCTGAAGCAACAAACTCCCTGTCCCATTCCATCGATTCACGTCTTGACGATGGTGGTGTTGGTGACAGTCGCATCAACTCTTGGAATGTTTCGCGATCGCTAACACTACATCTTCCGCCGTTGGACGATGTGGACGAGTCAAGCTTGATAATGCTCCCATTAAAATTACTAAGTGCTCTTGGCTCCATGCTCTTTCTGCGCTTTTGCCCACCCCGTGGTATTAGCCTAAGGTCCACTCCGTAGTTGATTTCATCAAGCCATTTGCCTTTGCGTTCACAGCTGTGGGATATCATTGTTAGCTTTTAGCACTAGGTGGAAAGCACGGGGGAAATAGGCATACTCAAGAACCCAACCAACGCCCACACATTTCACAAGACCGTTAGCTTCTCTAACTTTCTCTAATGTTCTCACTCCGCCATCTTTGAAGACAACATGTGTAATTCCCACCTTGCCCTCCTTGGGATCTAGGCTATCCACGGGAGAGAGGCTCGCTCGCGGATTCCATGACCATGATTTCACACATCTGGCCCCCATTTGAGTGAGGAGTTCAACAAAGATGCCGCTTGCATCAGCCCCTTCGGCAGTGTGGACGTCTGCAAAAACAACTGCTCCTTGGAGAACTTTGTCATTAACTGAGTTTGATTTGCGTGGCGACTTCGCTGCGCTCTTCTCGGAGGATCGAGTACTCTTTGAGGTATTATATTTATCAGGAGTTTCATTTGGTTGCTCCGATTCGGCTTCACATCCGGCTATGTCGTCACGGCTTTTCTTTAGACTCAACATTGCTTTTTGTGGAGAAAGTGCCGGTAGCAATTTAGTCTTTCCAAGCTGTCGACTTGAGTTCTTTATGGGTGAAGAAGAAAGGGATCTAACCCTTTTGCGTGGAACTTTCAGCACAGAACCGTCGCCGTCAGGTCTCAGAGGCACTTTTGAGACAGTATGAATTGTCCGAGGATACACACGGGAGCGAACTGGAGTGACAGACATGGGAAGCACGATTGGATTCGCCTTCTCGACCAGATTTTTACTCCGGTTCACATCCTCGTCAAAGAGTCGTGGATCGATTGGAACAGTGGAGTCAGAAGGAGCCGCATTCTCATCTCCGAATGCCTGATTGTCGCCGTCCCAGTTTTCAAGTATCTCCGGCGCGAGGTCCATGGCATCATCGCCAATCATGTTGTTCGTAGTTTTGTCACACTTCTCTCTGACCATGTCGTTGCCTAACTCGGTAGCAACGACAGCTCCATCCTCAAATAAAGTAGAACCTGGAATTCCGGAAGCAATAGACAATCTAAGTGCAAGTGGCTGGGGTACATGTTCAAGTCCATTATCTTTTTCGCTAGCATGGCTACCATGGTCAACGAGCTCACCGGGTTTTAGAGGGGAAAATATCCCTCGATTTTGAACCCTGGAAGACCGCCGTTTCACTGGGCTGATGGCACCCCACTGGCTTAGCCGCTCGGCCAAGGGAGTAAATCCCAATTTCTCTTCCGATCGGTCAATATCGCTCATATCATATTCAGCAGTCGCACCAAGCAGTGTGTCTCGTCGTGATAGATCATTATTGGGCTTTAATGGGCTGGCGTCTTTCATTAGTTCGTCGTCAGATTCTTCAACTATGTCATCACGGTACACTAACGGAGCGCGACTGTTCGTGAATATTGGAGGGGATGGCGCTGCTGGTGGAATGCAATCCCTTGCTGAGCTGACACTTGCATCTAGGTGACAAATGTCGTATCCACTCACGCAGCTAGACGGTGTTGACAGGATTTCTGAAATGACAAACGGGTCATCCAAACCCTGTGCAGGAGACCCAGCAGGGCTAACATTGCTGGCATCTTCCAGAACCGGATGATAGGAATTTCCGCCGAGCCCTCCCGATGAATCCCTTACTACAAAAACATCCACTTCACAATCAAGAGGGTAATCGGCGAATGCGCTATCAGTATTGAGTTCTTCCTTGATGGCTTGATCGAATAGCTTTGTGGGAGATTCATGTTTTTCCGGCACTGCAGATGGTTTGATATGGCAGAGGGAAGTGTTTTCAATTGTTAAAGGAGTTGTAGATTCTCGAATTTGTGTCTCGTTTATTAAGCTGCTGCCCAAAGACTTAAGTGGGGAGCTTGGCCGTTTCGCCGGGCTTTGTAGTAAGGTCGATTTGTCCTGGGGCTGAGTTGATATGGACTTGAATGGTGACTGGGGTAAGGATACACCAAGACTGCCTTTTTTGGGTGAGATTTTCAAGGGTGAATACACTTTCATATCCTGTGTTTCAGAATAAGACGACAATCCCATAGGCTGAAATAGAGCACGTCGAGGTGAATCTCTCATTGAATCCTTGTATGGTGATGGGGGAAGCCTTCTTGGTGGTGAAGATAACACTACTGAACCCGCCATTGCTTCCTGTATGGCACTGGAGAACAAGGTTTGCTCACATTGAGCGCTTCTCGGTGGAGAAGCTCCTTGTGAGGACGGTTTAGTAGGAGATACAAAATCGATCTTTTTAACAGGGGAATTAAATGGCCTATGTGGATCTCGCTTAATCGGAGATCCATTGTGGCGTGGAATCCGGGGTCGAGGCGAGCTCAAGTCATCATCTTCAGCATCATCGGCCGAACTAGCAGAGGATCCGGATCTGGCAACTTGAGTGACTTTTTTCGGAGAGAGAGGCTCTTTCTTTCTCTCCTCCGTTGCAATACTAGCAGAATCTCGTTCGCCAGGTGATGTAGTGGTCTTTCGAACTGGCTTAGATTTAATTCCAATTTTAATTTTTTGTTTTGGATCAGTGGCTGTCGATGAAGTGATTGGCTGGTTCTCTTTGTCGGAGTCTGTAACCATGTCAAGGAAGGTAACTTTTTTCCTTGGGACTGTGGCAACTGTTGTTCGAGCTCTGGAGGTAGCCGACGCGGCTGTTAGGGACGCTGCTGAAATATGTATCGTCTTGCTGGTACCCTTAGTATCATCGTCTGCTGTCACAGCAATGGCCTTCTTCGGTCGTCCAACTGGGGCTTTCTGGGAGTTTCCGGTAGCTACAGCTTTACTCTTCCTCGTAGTTGAGGTAGTCTTTGGTCTTCCTTGCAGTCTCTTCGGCGGCCCCGGCTGTGCCAGTTCGTCGTCGTCGTCGTCGTCGCCGTCGCCGAAATTCCCGGATTCCTCTTGACTCTGTTTTGTATGGATCAGGGCAGCTTTCCTATCCGTCCCAGCCGCAACTCTTGAGACAGACCCTGTTTTACTAGAAGATGCCATTTTCAATTTTGGCTTAACGGTGACAATGTCCATCTCGTCGTCACTAGAATCACCATCAAAAGCACTGGAATCCTGGGCCACCTCCTTTGTTTTCTTTCTTCCTCGTTTGGCTGGTTGTTTCTGGGGTTCGACCCCGTCCGCATATGTCGTCGCATTGGCAGGCTTTCGCCTTGACGCTGGTTTCGCCGTTGTTGGGGTATCTGTTGTCTTCGTCCTCGGTCTTCCTCTTGCCGGAGCTGCTTTTTTATCGGCTGCCACTGCCTCGTTTTGAACTGCCATAGCCGGTGCGTCCGAAATCCCTGTATTTTGAGCTGCCCTAGCCCGAGTAATTCGTTTTGGAGGGCTTCCTGGGACAGAAGCTGCTGTTGCTTTTCGGGCCATATTTGGGCCTAACTATACGGTATTTAAGAAAGGTGGTCACAGTATATGAGTAGAAATTGGCGGAGCCCAATAGCTTTCGCGGCAGATATCATGAAGCTTACTTGGTCTGCAGATTGTTGGGCGCGTCAATCATGGGATGGATATCACGCTTGAGGTAAACGGTTAAAAACTGAAATGAATGAAATAAACAAAATAAGAGAGGCCTATTTAGACATGGAGGAGTATTAATGACGAGCCTTGTTGGGTGAACAAATTCGCCATTGGATCTGTTGTTGATGATGCGGAGTTCGTTGTCCAGGCAACAAGGGAGTTAGGGTTAAATTCCAGAATAGGCTTGGCTTTGTTGTGTGCTACCACGTGATATGTCGAATAGGGGTAACCCCTATAACTAAAACTCGTAACCACTACTACTACTAGTAACTGATGAATTCATGATTTCAAATCATCGAGAAAGAATGTCCATTGGGGAACGAGCCTATTTCGTGGATGATATCTGGGTGCTTGTTTCTTTGGCATGGCTGTTATGTGTAATTGGTATTCTGCATTGTTTCTTCAATGAAGACCTCGCGACTGCCTGTTTATAGTTTCAAATTTACAACAACCAGATTCAGTTAGCAAAGTCGTAAATAAAATTTAATCTTCTGTAGATGTGAAACCAATGAAGAAATTTCAATTCGAGAGTCGAAGTCCGTGCTATAAATATATCCCATCCGCGAACACTTCCTTCGAGCCAATCAGTTGCAATTACAATAATAGTACGATGATAAGAAATAAAGAAAAAGGTGGTGAGAGCAATATGAAGCGGATATATAACGATTGCCATCAAGAAGCGAAGACAGTAAATGGTATCCCGAAATGATATCAAAGTGAACAGAATATATTGGAAAAGATTGAGAAAGGGGGTCTGGAAATATCGAAATGAAGGATTACGTGGACGACTACAATAGCATCGCTGCCACACCAACAGCAATAAGCAAAGTGAAAGAATATGGGGCAATGCTCGAAGATGCGATACTGGTAGTTTTCAAGGGTCCAAGAAGCAGTCCTGGCTCGTACACTGAAGGAACAGTGCTGTTAATTCGACCATCCCAACAATGGGTCTTGAAACACTTCTTACAAGCTTCAGGAACTTGCGTGTTTGTGCGTTCAAACGACCTACTGAGCATGGCGCAGCCAACGCAGGTAGGCCAGTCCGAGTCAACAGTACCGTTACCCATGGTAACGACGTTGTACCCATTTTGAATGATCTCAAAACGCTGGGAGTCGGAATATTCCATTTGGAAGGTTGATGCATTGGAAAAAGTTACATATGGTGAATTGGGGATGTAGACTATCAGAGGAGACGGGCCTGTCATGTTTGCACTGTCGCATCCGAAAAATGTAGGTTTCTTGTTGAGTCCCAGGTTTACGAAGGTGTTCACGTCAGGGACTGCTGGAAACACAGTGCCATTAGCAATGCTGGAAGTTATGCTGCGCTCATAAGTTGCGACAAGAGCGGTGCCATTCGGCCAGTTGAATTTGTTGTCGGCAGAAGAGTCCACGGCAAAAATGACGTCGACGTGCCGCTCTGGCTGAATCAGAGGATGAAGAGGAATGTTTTGCAGATCTTCTCCACCATCGACGAGGTTGAGAGATTTTTCTTTCGCGAAAGGTGAGGTATGGTTGGAGTAGTGGAAAAACGGATTGGGATCGTACGCTGCAATATCGTTGTTGCTTCTTCCAATGCTTTCAAGGATAGATTCAAATGCGTCCTTGACAAATCCTGGAACATCAACACCATTTAAGTTCAGTAAGAACTGGTTGAAGAGGGATGATGATGTACCCATGACATAGCCAGCGTTATCAAAGCCTCTCACGCAGGGCTCCGACCGGGGCAAGGACCCTGATTCGAATTTCGACCCGAGGAACTCCAACGGCATAAAGCCAAAGATGGTCGGGTCGAATGTGCCAAATTCCCAAGGATTAAACTCGAATACTGTGGCATTGCCTCCGATGAACAACTCTCCGGGATTCCTGCCATCCGCAACAAGAATGGGCAGAGGCATACTTCCGTCCTTGAAATCCTGTCCAAGGGAAATAGAGGACCATGTATAAGCTGGTCCACCTTCAGGGGCATCGATAAGCTGGTACGAGAGAGCTCGGCCCCTTTGATGTGCAAAACTGTCAGCTCCATTTTCTCCAAATCAATGAGCTTGATAGATAAGTGTCCCAAGGAGAGAACAAAACGCACCAATAATCCGTAAGTGAAACGTCAAACCCAGCCTTTTTCTTCCCCTCGACGGCATCATATATTTCTTTGTAATAATCGACGGTATTGAGTAGCTTGATACCCTTCTGTGTAGGGCCCTCGAGAATAGAATTGTTGAACTCCCATACCGACCCATCCTCATCAGCCTCCAACTCTGACACAGAGGTCAAATTGTTGATGTAAAGTGATCCGACGAGCCACCCACCACCGCTCAGACCAGATAGGTATGTGGCTGACTGCAGCAGGCCGCCCAGCTGCCCGGGGCCAGTCGAGTTTTTTGTCCGACTATCAAACGCCTTCAATGCGCCGCCGCCATTCATTAAGGCTCTGTATCCACCGCCGGAAACCGCAATTCCGACATTCGGAAGCGCAGAAATATTTTTGGCATTGTTTTCAATGTACGACCGCGCATCGAAACCTGCAATGGTAACGCGGCCAAAGAAATCTTTCATCGCATCAGTGGTCTTTTGTCTTCTTTTCTCTAACCAGAGATTTTCATTTTGTGAAAGGGTCGCTGCGCTGCGGACCGTCGGGCGACTGTCACCGCAACTGGCTTCAGCAGGTGTATACCCATCGGGAGCGTTCGGGAGTGCTCTCACAGAAAGAGCTTGAATAGATTCGGGTGCCACAGCAGCAGCGAGGCCTGGAATCACCGCTATTTGGTCATTTAACTGGATAAAGGATGTCGAGGTGTTTTAATCTCTCATCACAAATAGCAATTGTGCCTAAAACTTACTTGAATACGTCCCTATGATGGTGGTCCATAACGCAATCAAGTCCGTCCTCATCGTTGCTTATAATGGCTAAGGCCAAAATATCAACGACGAAGAGAATTAAAAATTAAAAAGAAAATCAACATCAACATCAAGGCGGAGCCTCAAGAAGGAAAGGAAATATACGGATACTTTTATTATTTTTCAAAATCTACGGGGGCCCGGAACAAAAGATGTCATGAGGCCATTTCCCCCGTACTTATAGCGGGTTTGAGCCCAATGAAAGGAGGGCTGCTTCACGAAGCTTTGTTTAGCGCGGAACTAGCTGGCTTTCCAATTTCACCACAGCTGGGCCTGTTGGGCATCTGCAACAAATTTATGAACAAAAAAGGATAATGATAATCATGCCGCCCCTGCAAAGCCACAGCTCCAACTGGTGCTGGAATTACAGGGCTGTCGTGGTTCGTGCAAAATGAATGGGGGATGTGCGCGGCTAGAATGAACAGGGATTTTTATTACCACCAACCTCAAGATTTGACCAAAAGCACATCAAACCAACGAGAAACAAGCTCATTGTCAAATTGCCAGCGGGACTGATGACATGGGTTCACGGAGCCGAGGAAAGGTCCATTCTTTGCGAATTCTTTGGGGCTTGGGTTTCAAAGTGCAGGAAATCCCAAGTTGCGGCAGAACAAGCAGCTGGCAGCAAAATATTGGGAACTCATTGTGATTTGTTTTTGCACATTTCAATTTACACAGATGATTAAGGATTCACAGATGGTTTCTTGAAGCTCAGAAAATTGAATAATACGACATACAGTCTATTCAGTCTATTCGGTATCCTAGCATATATCTCAGTTCTAGCAAAACGAGAGTTAATTCCCGTCTGGAATTGGGCTAAGCCTTACGCCATCGGGAAAAACACGCTTGGATCTCGAGGTCATGACGATTGGGGCTGTGTATCCAAAGGCAGCTGAAAGCTTGAGAGCGCCGCTTTCCAGTTGGGCTACCACTGCAGATCCGGAGCAGCCAGAGTTACTTTTCTTCTTTTTTTTTACAAGGCATTACCGTCACGCTATGACCGGATTTCTGGATATCTACGGTTCCGATTTTCGACTGGAGCTTGGCCATCGGACATTGGAAACAATCAATATCAAAATTTTTGAGTTCTTCACCTGGCATGCTGATTATTTTGTCCAGCGCTCGAACAATTTTCGACGAGCTATCTCATAAACAAACGATTACAGAAACTACGATCTGGAATTTTGAGATCCAGTCTAACGACGTGCGTTGGCATCAAGGTATTACGGATATCAAGAAAGCTCTCTTTATTTCTCAATCATCAAAACAAAAGGGCGGACTAGGGTATCAGGAGGAAGAATAGAATTCTTGATCTCAAGCGTCTCTTCAATGCCCATGCGCCAACTAACGTGTACTGCGCCAGTCCCTGATGCAGTGAAATGATGGCAAACAATTGTAGCATACACAGAAACAGGCCGGTTTTTCGAGAAACTGCAGAGAGGTCAGTCCCCTTACAGTCCTTGCATTTATCTTTCAGCATCATGCCCAAGTCAGAATTGTGGAAGGCAGCCCATTTACACATGTCGCTACCCCCAAACTCCAGCCACTATTGTTCATGGAAAGTGTGTCAGGCTTTGTGAAATGAGGTGAGATCCAGGCTCCTCAAATGCAATAGGATCAACCCTTCTGATGAAATCTGTCTTGTTTTACACCCAGCAATTAATCTCAAACCGGGCCTGGTACAAGTGACTTGGCTGATGAGTCATAAAGACCTCCCGTGGTTCCATCTTGCTTGCTGGAATTCAAGTTGAGCATACCTAGCACTACAGACCTTCGATCATGGTCCATTTTCTCCTAGACGAAGTTCTCTAGGCCGCGTCCGGGCTTTGACTGCTAGTGAATTTGGTGTGCAATGGAGCTTTGATGCACCGACTGAAGATATAGAAGAGGAAACACAGATTTCGGGCAGAAACTTGAGGAAGTCAAGAATAATATATGTATAGCCACCCATGTATATTAAAAAAGAAAAATCCATGGTAGGTGACAGACAAGCCTTTGCAGCAAACAGGGTTAATTCAGGATCTCTGCTGCGTAATTCGCCATCCAACGCAACTGTTATTTCAATCGATCAATTGCGGGGACCTCCTTCTTCGCGCGTCTTTTTCCCAGATTGGTTTCCTAGCATCTCTCAAAAAATTCGAAAAAATCTCGTCGAATAAATTGACACATGGCATTCGGTCTAAATATAACCAGCGGCTTCGGGCCTCCAGCAACTTCTGTCTGGACTCTGGATTGCGATTGATGCGTCCATCCAATGGCCACCGCCGTCCCCGTAATGGTCATGCTATCTGCTCGCTGTCAGAGTTTACCCCACATGAAGTCGCTAGTCACCTGTGAACAAGATGCCTAGGATATTTTTTGTGAAACATGCATTTATATCTTCAGATGGGCTCCCGCCTTCAGGGTGAACCCTTTTTGGTCCAGTGATACAACCTCCCATCAAAATTGCATGGTTTACATTTTTTGTATGTCAAGTGACTTCCTTATGGATACCTTTATATCAACGATTGAGGTAGACAAGGGAGAGAATGCGGCGGCGATCAAACCCCAACCCTATGGCTGTCGGGGTGCCGTTGTGTATCGGTGTTAAGTCGATTCGAAGGCCATACAGGAGAAGGGATACTCACTCCTTGATTGGGGTCGCTTAGAAGCACCATTTTCAACCAATTATTACTAGAATGTCCTGGCCTGCTAGAACATAAACCACACTCTCTAAGCTACTCAATTTATGGACCCTGACTCGGGCAATAATTAGTTAGTCGTCGGTGTCCTGGACTGGAGCCTTCTCTCCGTTCCAGATTGCCACAGAAATCATTCCAAATAGCCAGCAAGATACCGCAAACGAGAGTATGAAGATTCCCCAAGACATGCCATTTAGAGCATTCAGTGCCAGAACATTTAAACACACGTCTCGTTCCCTTCTGCCCTCCCCAACCCGAATTCATCCAACTTTCCCCTATCCTCATTCCCACTAACTAGCGCTGTATTATCCAACCAACTCTCAAACCAGCTTCTCTTGTGCTGTACTAAAGGCTATGTAATATTATCTTCGCCAGCCAAGTCATCCCAAACGTCCCAAATATCCCCTTTTCACACCATGCCTCCTCTCTTCAGTCAAACTACATCCACAACCAACCACGATAGGCCGCCGTCTACAAATGATACCCAAACAGCGCCGCCGATAGCTGGAAGACCCAGCAGCTCCCTAAAGGAAAAAACCAACCTGATAGACGATGTCAAACCAAGCATCTATCTAGGCACCAAAGATAGACTGCCAGAATTCATCCTGACTGACAAAGTCGTCTTGGTGTCTGGTGCTGCACGCGGGCTGGGATTGACGCAGGCCGAGGCCTTGCTGGAGGCTGGTGCAATTGGTGTGCTTAAAATTGAATTCCTCCTTCCTCTCTTTCTCCATACAGATACCCGACGAACAGCTCATCGGCTGGGGTTCTGGCCTGAAAACCCCGAGAAAAAGTGGAAATATCGATTTGGACCAACTATTTTGCGTGGCCCAATGGTATTTATTTTTGAGTTGAAAACCACTAGTTACTGACACACTGTGAACTCACCCTAGTCTATGCTCTTGACCGCCTTGAAAGCCCTGTATGTTGCTTGCATTCCCACAAAATTATCACCCCAGGCACCCCCGCAGAAATCTAGTGTTTTGTCATCTGAGATATAGAGTTGTGGACTTGATACTTCCTTTGTCGTTTTTCTTTTTTTGTTCTCTTAATTTTCATATGACCCCACTATCTGCTTACCAATACCTAACATGAAAACATCCATATTTAGTCTCCCCATTTCTATCGCGTCCAGCAACGAGCGGCTGAAGAGCTGAACACGAAGCTCCACTACCGTCGCATTGATGTGCGCGATGCCGAAGGTCTGAACGAGGTTGTCAAGGAAATTGCAGACCATGAAGGTCGAATGGACGGCCTTGTTGCCGCAGCGGGCATTCAGCAGGAAACTCCGGCGCTCGAGTACACGGCCAAGGACGCCAATATGATGTTTGAGATCAACATCACAGGCGTGTTTATGACTTCGCAGGCCGTGGCGAAGCAGATGATCAGGTTTGGCAACGGAGGGAGCATCGTCATGATCGCCAGCATGAGTGGGACGATTGCCAACAGGGTAGGTGTTTGAGATCTCAATTATTTTTGTCTCCAGGCCCGATTGAACCATGTGTTTTTGCCCCGCTTCGACTTTTATTGGGAGGACAAATTAATGTATGGATTTATCAGTGTGGATAACCTCACCCCACATGCAAACCTGTCAAACTTGCCAATCTCACCCTCAGACCCATCTCGCAAACCAAACACATCGAACTATCATCACTGACCAACTAAAATTGCACAAACAAAACCAGGGTCTAATCTGCCCCGCTTACAACGCTAGCAAAGCCGGCGTCCTCCAACTCGCCCGCAACCTCGCTTCGGAATGGGGCCAGCACGGCATCCGGGTCAACACCATCTCTCCCGGCTACATCGTTACAGCCATGGTCGAGGAGCTGTTTGTGCGGTACCCCGAGCGTCGGACTGAGTGGCCGAAGCAAAACATGCTCAATCGGCTCAGCACACCACAGGAGTACCGAGGTGCTGCTGTGTTTTTGATGAGTGACGCGAGCAGCTTTATGACGGGGAGTGATTTAAGGATGGATGGGGGCCATAGTTCATGGTAGGGGAGTGGCATGGATGGAATGGAAGCATGATGTACGACGATGGTGGCAGCTGACGCTTTGTGTCCTTTCAACCCTTTTACCCGCTTTAAGCAAAGGACGGAGGGATGTGGTTAGTTAGTCCTTTGGGTTGGTGGAATGGGGTTTCGGGTTTTCTCCTTTTCAATTATCTATCTATATCATTGATGATTAGTTTCCTTGCTAACTTCCTCCTAGGGCGCTGCTTGTTTTGTTTTTCCTTCTCTTGATCATTCGTCTTTAGCGGAGCGGGCGTTGATATTTCCCCCTCTCTTTCTTTCTTTTCTTTCGACGGACTTTCTCTATCTTCTTTAATGTGCGTATAGCTTGCCTCCATGTGTTTCAGGTGCTTGGCTCCCTCGAGTTTCCATTCTAGCTACGTCACCGCAATAATATCTAATTAATAGCTAACCACCCATTACTTTTCTAATTCCTATGACACCTGTTCACTGACCATTGGGTTACAAGGAGACATCCCCAATTCGGCGCAGATAGCCAAATTTATACCTTGAGATCTAACGCATACTCAGTGCTAGATTTTATTCCTGGTCAAACCCGATGTCTAGAGTTGCACTTTTCTTAGGTTTGTTTACTCAACCGGGAAACCAGCTCTCAGATTACATTAATCGTCATGGGTTTCTGAATATTCCAGAGCCCGTATGTCATCTCCCGATCTTTTCCATGACGCCAGCGCTTTCAGCAATTGTAACATTTGCACTATCCCCTGTATGTGTCCCAGTTCTCTCCCATTTTACCCCCGAGAACATTGTCACGGAGTGAGCTGCTAGAAACAACGTAACCGCGGAATGATTCGGTATATGTTCCCATCGTGTCTGTTGGAGTTGCCTTCGTCATATTAAGGCGGACAGACACGCCTGGCCCCCACGACGAGGAAGATGGATGCGTGATTACCGCTCCGGGTATCAGACTCAAAAAACATCCCCGTAGTGTGGATTGCAACGCGGATGGCAATGACAGGGAGGGCACCATCTGTGTCAGTGAGGGTGGCAAGAAGAAGCCATGGTGATCTAAATAATTCCTCCGAGAAGTTTTGGAAGTGCGTAATCCCCAACCTTTGATGGGGGGAAGCAAGAATGATTTATGTCCCCCTACACCCGATCAAACATCTGGAGTAGCCGCCAGGGCGCTTGTCATCCTTGTTTTAAGTGTCAGCTCTATAATATGGAGTCTATCAATGGATGAGGTGATTTAAGCACTGAGTGTTTCTCGTGGAGCTTTTTAACAAGGGAGCAGACCACGGCATCAAAAGGATCTCTTCGAATGGAGTCAACATTCTTTGGAGATATATTTAGCATATTTTCCATCTCGCAGTTTTGTTCTTTGAATGATATTGCATGATTTGGTGCCTTCATGTTGTCTCTCAACTCGGATGAAATATGGTAGCAACGGTAACATCCAGGAGATAGGAGCACACGTCTGACTAGTTATTTCCACACAACAGTCTATTCCCAGTCGCTCCCAACAAGTCCAACATTTGGTTCACAAGGAGTTGATTTGACAATCCACATCCGCGGCAAATGTCACCAACATGAGAGCAATCGATACTGCTCTTGGCTTCCTCCTTTGCCACTCTCCTCTATTTGTCGCGCGCTGGATTGTTCGATGTGCCCCCTAGACCTACCTGATTCGTCTCTGCAATCGGGTTGAGAAAAAACAAGAACGCCATGCTATATCCGCAGGCGTGCTGTGCGTCTCTGCGTATCGCCGCCTCGATCCGACCGTTGTGTATATCCTGCAAGTGTATCGTTTCTTCATAGACGGTTCTACAGGCCTCTCGTTGCCTTACGGGTACCTGTTCATAGAGTACATCCCCCGCCAGACTCTCGAGCAACTTGATGCCACCGCTGGTGACAACAGCGTCAGCAAGTCTTTGACCAATCGTTTGACGAAAGTTGTCGCGCATGTGCAGGAGACCGAGGTAGAGGATGGTGCACCTCCTGGCCCCGTAGGTGGCAGAATGGCACAGGTCTACCAATGGGGTGACGGATTTGTGGCTCAACAAGCGACTAACCATCATTGGCAAGGGTATTGACTTAGCTCCTTGCTATCCACTCGTGTTAGTTCATAGAGACGTGTGCCGGAGGAATATAATTGCCATGGACGATGAGAACAGACCCTCCGCCAATCCCTCCAATTCCTCTAATTCCAACTCGATCTCCAACAGCAAAGGCGACACCGACTGCACAGATAGGAAACTCTGCCTTGTTGACTGTGACCATGCAGCGCTCCTGCCTCGGGTGTTCAAGCTACAGAGAAGGAAGTAGGAGACCTGACGGGAAGTGGAGAAAGAGTGCAATAAGTTGCTTATGAGAGCAAGGGCAGGGAGTTTGAGATTGGAAAAGTGAGGATAATCTCAACAATGATTAGAGTCAACTAGCAAACAGAAAAAAAAAGAAATAAAAAAGATGACCCATTACAACTGAGTTGTTTTGGTGAAATTCTACTGTTGTGGATGCAATGCTCTATGAAAGGTCTATGTGCTTATTGTGACCACTGCAGTCTGCTCATGTTGTTTGACATCATTGCTGCTTGCACCGCTTGGCCAGCAAAGGAAAGGAAAGAGAAATGATTGGGCTGAATGAATTTATAACAGTATTCAAACAAATCAATTACCTCCTGGTTCCTAGCCCTAGTTCTTTCCCCACAGTGCGGGAAATAAGGGAGTGAGAAGTCAGAAAGCTTGTCACCACACCCAGCCTCTACAATAATTTCCTCTCTTGTTCCTGTCTGGTTTCAAATCATTGACGCACATAAGAATTTTCCTTCTCAGGGATGGCAAATATATGCGAATTAGTAACGACTCGAAATGGATGGCTGCGACAATATGTTACTGATCAATTAGACCTGGAAACTTCCAGTCCATACGCCGGAGAAAATTTTTCAACTGGGAGCAAACTCTACATCAATGTATGTATGTAATGAATGTACCTTGAAAGTGCTACCTTAGCAGAGGACTGCAGGTCGGAATAGATTCCAGAGTTGAGAATCCTAGTAAAAGGATCTACGCAATAGTGAACCGAGTTCATATCACAGGAGTTTCCTCGTACTCTCTGTGACTGCTGCAAAAGTCTCCGTCATTGTCGAGTTCCGAGACTAATGTATGCCCTCCCGATGTAGTTACCAAGGCGGCATAGCTCTGGAAAGATAGATTTCCCCTCGGTGGGTATTTGAATATGATCAACTGAAAATGATGCCATGCAGCCAACCCTTAAGAGCCTTGAAGATTTTTCTCCTTGAGGGGTTTGGCTTTGGAAGTTTCCTCAGCGCTGCTGAGGGTTTAGCATTGACAAGATGCAAACTTAGTGTGAATCATGCAGATAGATATATATCTTGAGGAAATAGGTGGCTACCATAAGGATTGAACAAGATTCTTAGTCATGGCTAAACAATTTGGGTGTCTTACAGCGTAAGCTTTCCTTAGGGACTGAACCGTCTGCTGCATGACAGAATGGCCATCCGCGGGCAATTCGGCAATGTAACCCGGTGTTTCCGTAATAACAATAAGTATTTAAGGTGGAGTCACCAGAATACGCAAATACGAGAGTGATAGCAGTGAGGTGGGAGAGAGAGTGGAGATCTGTGGGCGTTTTTGACATGTTGGATCAGCGTCGGTCATTGCATTATGTTCAGGGATTGATCATGGCGGTGACGGCTACTGCAGTCACGTGTCCCCAAGTGCTGCTCTCGCTTAGCTAGATAATCAGACTAATTAAAGGCATAGTATATACTGTGTACACAACTTTTTCAAAGTAATTTAAATGGTTTTCTATGATAGATCTCAACTATAATCAAGATCTCTATCTAGCTGTCTACTCACTCACTATCTAATTGATTGTTATGAGAATATATATTGCTAGGCGCTAGCTATCTAGATGTTTACCTGCTTGATATTCAATCAATATTTGATGGGTCTCTAGGGAAATACAGCGTAGAGGTGGCTACCTAGCTAGGTGCCTACCCACTCAATATCTGATCTGTATTGGAATAGGGGTTGCTAGCTCGCTAGCTAGCTGGTTATAGAATCTAGCAAACATCTGTTGACGACATAATGTCTAACGATATTTATCTATGACATGTAGCAAAGATACTAGTATATAGAAAAAATATCTAGCGATGATATATAGCAATTATATATATCTAGCTATATTCCTTGGTGATATCTACTAGTAGTGATGATATCTAATCATCTTTTTAGGAATAGAGATTTCACTCTCGCTAGCTTATAGCTTGTCCACTCACTGTATATTCCATCACCTATATACGCTGTAGCATTTCACTCTACAGTTTGGGAGAGAAGGAGGGGAGGGGTTGGTTCATCCACAGTTAAGATAATGTAGAATTAACAATTCATTGCCCCGAGAATTTAGTAGTGCATTTGCCGAGGTTACATGTCGGCTAACCGCTCGGGTGACTTCCCAGGTGAGCAGACCCACACTAGTATAAGTCACCTGACCTAACTAGTGTTTTGGCAAAAATGGGTCAGTTGAGAATAAAACAAAAATGAACTTTTACCTTCTCATACATCTGATTAATACACACAGTGAAAATGAATATTACAATTCTTTTATTAGTAATCAAGATTGATTAAATCTTGAATATCATTAACTTGAGAAGTATACATAAACTATAAATGAAAATATATATATAAAACTAGTTCTTTACTATTATTTGATCAGTTACTGACTAGTAAGCTAACAATAATTAGTTATAGATGGATTGGGTTACAGTGTGTTCAAATCTGACCCTCACAATAACCAGATTATATACAGAGGTGCAGTCATTCAGCTATCAACATCACTGTATATAATCTAGTTATTGCTGATATATATTCAATTTTATATTCATATATACAGAATACTTGTATTTAGTAAGAGAAATACTATTAAATTCAGATATATATAACTTTGTATACAGAAAGTTATATAATTACTAGCTAAATAATCTACTTAACTTCATCTCTATTAAAGAACTACTGATTTCAGATACTATATAGAAGTATAAATCAACTGTCTGAGTATTATATATAGTCTATACAACTAAATCTAACTCTATAATAATAATATATATATATTTATAATAATAATAAAGAAATGAAGATCAAAGAGAGAGAATAGAACAGAATAGAACAGAAAAATAAAAGCTTTGTATATACTCTATTTAATAAAAATAAGATTATTCTGTATATTAGACTGAGTATTATGATTTATATTATCTGCTGTTAATACTTATAGCTGTGATAACTGTCTATTATAAAAATTATTATATATATCAGATTAATCTGCAGAGCTGTGAAGAGAGCAGTATATTATATAATTATATTATTTATAATTAATATATACTTCTTCAAAATAACTGTATATATAATAATATAATGAAAATAATTTAAGCTCAGAGAATATATAATACTGTATATAGTCTGTAATAAGAATTTTATCACAGAATTGAATCAGAATAATATTAATATATAATAAATAATGAAATAATACTTAATCAGTTCTGATATATATATAAATATATAATATATCAAAATCAGAGATAGTAAGCAGAGTATAGAATTAAAAATTATAACAAAATATACTCAGCTGAGAATTACTGATATATATTATATTATACTCTAATCATTTCTATTATTTATTTTAATATTCAGCAGCTGAATAATATAAATTAATCAATTCAATCTAAATCAGATTTCATTGAGTAATAATAAAATTATATAAAATAAGAGCTTTTATATTATAATCAACTTTCTATATTATACAGTAAAGAAATAGAAAAATATTTATATTATTTATAGAGAGAGAAAGAAAAGAGAATATTATTGAAGAATAGAAGAAAGTTAATCTTCTTTTTTATAAAAAAAAAAATCAAAAATCTTCTCTGATTATATACACAAATCTCTGTCAGTATTCTTTTTTTTTAATATAATAAAATAAATATTTTATACAGTATATAAAGTGAAAAAAAGACAGAGTGAATAGTAAATAAATGATTTTAATAAATTTCAATAAAAAAATAATAAATTCTGATATAAAAGAGATTATATATACTAATAAATAATAATAAAAAAACTGAAGAGAGAAAGAGAAAAGAAGTTGAAAAAAAAAATAGAGAAAAAAAAGATTTTATAATTAACTTATTATTATTATCATTGTAAATGAAAAAGAAAAGTGAAAATATTTTATATATAAAAAAGAAAAGAGAAAAAGAGAAAATACTTATTTTTATAAATTCTGCTGAGACAGTCTATATATATAAATAAATAAATATTTAAAATTAAAAAATATATAATATAATTAATATACACAGATTATTTTCTTACTCTTTTGAGAAAGATAGAGAGTTTATTCAGATTCATTTTTAATTATATATATATCAACTTAAACTTCTTTATAATCTTTAGAATAGATTTTAATTTCATTATATAATAGCAGCTGAATATCTCATTAATAATCATCTTTCATTAAAAAAAAAATATATACTCACTATTTTTCTTTTTTCAGTTAAATTTATATAATAACTTCAGATACTATACAGAGAGCTGTTCATTCAATCTCTATTTTTATTTTTTTTAAAGATTATTAATTAATTAAATTATATAAAAGAGCTGATATATTCAAATATTATTTTTAATTGATAATATTATAGTAGAAATAATGACAGCAGCAGCAGCAGTTGATAAAGAGAAGAATAAAAATATAAATACAGAAATAAAGAGAATTTTAATAGTATTTTTTTATATATAGACAGAAATAGAAATAGATTGAAAGATTCAGAATTCAATTGTTATTATATTAATTCTATATTAAATTCTATTAATTTTCTTCTTTATTTATATATTTCTGATCTTTATCTAATTTATTATTATATTGATCTATTTCTATACAGTATTCAGACTCTCAAAAATCTGTAACACTGACTATTAAAATATTATTTTCTATAAAAAAATAAAAACTAATTCTGTAGTTTATATAGTATCTATAAACTATTTATACTCTATATACTGAAATATTAAAT